GGGAGGGGGTGCAGTGGGGAGGGGCGGCCGCCCATCACAGCCCCCGGCAGCCGCAGCGCCATCGATCCCGGCAGCAATTTGCAGAGTTAAATATTTGGCTTGTGCTCCACGTGTCCCGGCTCCTGCTCAAACAACAGCCCCACAGCTCAAACACCCCACAGCTCAAACAACAGCCCCACAGCTCAAACAACACCCCACAGCTCAAACAACAGCCCCACGGCTCAAACAACAGCCCCAACAGCTCAAACACCACCCCACAGCTCAAACAACAGCCCCACAGCTCAAACAACAGCCCCACAGTTTAAACAACAGCCCCACAGCTCCAACAACACCCCACGGCTCAAACAACACCCCACGGCTCAAACAACACCCTACAGCTCAAACAACAGCCCCAACAGCTCAAACAACACCCCACAGCTCAAACAACAGCCCCAACAACTCAAACAACACCCCACAGCTCAAACAACGCCCCACAGCTCAAACAGCCCCAACAGCCCCGGAGCGAGGGGACAGAGGGGCCACAGCCACTCCAGACACTGCCCGATCGATGGTGGGAGGTGCACTGAGCTGGGGCAGCCTCAGCACCCGGCACTGGGGGGATGTGTCAGGGCTGGGAGACACAGCAGAGCACCCCTGGGGCACCGCTGGCACCCACCAGGAGGCAGCTCAGGGACAGCATCTGTGTCATGAGTGCACGGGTCTCAGCCGGGTTGTGACCCCCCCCCAGCCAGACACACGCTGCCCTTCAGGCCCCCTCCACTGTCCCTGCCACCCTGCAGCCACCTGTCACCCACGGGGACGGCTGTGGACTGTGGGGGTGCGACCACCACCCTGGACACGGGGTGTCCTGCCACCTTGTCCCCATGGGGTTTGGCTGGGGGGTGGCCAGGAGGGGGACCCGGGCAGGTCTGTGGGTGCTGGGGGGACGCTGGGGCAGCTGCTGTGGTTGGGGACCACGCGGTGCCCACAGGAGGGACATCAGAGCCCACGGGAGGGACATCAGAAACCATGGGAATGACATCAAAAACCACAGGAAGGACTTGGTGGCCACACACTTGGTGGCCCTTCCCCAGCAGGTGCCATGCCCGGGCACACAGCCCACCCAGGGGCCTCGCCCCCAGCTCAGCCCAGGCCACCAGCCACCCCCAAACTGGGCACCCCAAGGCCACGCCAGCCCCAGCCATCACCGTGGGGACCCTGCACCTCACCCACCCCCCGCAGCCCCTCGCTCCCTCATTCCCGCTAAACTCGTTAGCGCTGGCGAGCGTCAGCAGGGCCCAGCCAGCGCCAAATGCGATTAGGGCGCCCGCCTCGCCTTCTCCTTCCTTCCCCCCCTCCCCGGGCCCGGCGGCAGCGGGAGGGAGGGGGGCAACCAGAGCTTATCTCGGGCTGAGCCAGCCCTGATTTATGGCTGGCTGCGGGGGATCCCGCCATCGCCACCGCAATTACAGGAGAATTAAAAAAATGAAAGAAAAAAGGCAGGGGAGAGTTGGTGCTCATGCGCCTGGAAATTGGGGTACTCGGGGTGGGTGCCCCGGCTCAGGGCTGTGGCTGTCACTGTACAGGGACCACCGGGTGTCCCCAGGTGAGCAAGACAGCACCCCCGGGTGCAGGGGTGAGGTAGAGGAGGATGGAAGGGTGCCCGCCCCCCAAAAAGGGGCATACGCTGGCTGGGAAGGGCTGGGACACCCCAGGAAAGGTCCCTGTGCCCAAAGGCTGGTGCTGGGGACAGCGAGGACACGGTGGTGAGGACACGGTGGTGAGGACACCCAGGGGAGAGTTAGTGCTCGTGCGCGGCCCCCCCCAGCACTGCCAGGAAATTGGGGTACTCGGGGTGGGTGCCCCGGCTCAGGGCTGTGGCTGTCACTGTACAGGGACCACCGGGTGTCCCCAGGTGAGCAAGACAGCACCCCCGGGTGCAGGGGTGAGGTAGAGGAGGATGGAAGGGTGCCCGCCCCCCAAAAAGGGGCATACGCTGGCTGGGAAGGGCTGGGACACCCCAGGAAAGGTCCCTGTGCCCAAAGGCTGGCGCTGGGGACAGTGAGGACACAGTGGTGAGGACACGATGGTGAGGACACCACCTCACTCTGCTGGGTGGGAAGGTGGGTTGGAGCCCGAGCATCCCCGAGGAGCCCCGGGACCACTGTGGAGGGCAGGGGCTGGCAACACTGGGAGGGGGTGACAACAGGATGGGGGGGTGACAACAGGATGGGGGGGGGACAACAGGATGGGGCTGCTCCAGGGGGAAAACACCGACCACAGCAAAGCCCAACAAGTCCCAGAATCGCACCCCAGGAAACCAGACCCACAGCCTGGGGTGTCTGCAGCCAACACAACGCCATGCCCCCCCCCACCCCCAGCCTCTGCTGGAAGACGACGCTCCGAGAAGACAGGATGGACCACCACGGGGATTTGTACTGAAAAAAAAAGAGCAGGAGCGCGCTGATGGGCTCCGCTTGCGTGCGGTGAACTTTACCGAGCGCGGCCGTGCCCCGGCGTGGGAAGGAGCTGGGAGCCAGGCAGGAAAGAGCAGCGCGGGGCGGGCGCGGGCTGGGGAGCCGCGGGGAACCCGCTGCTGGTCAGCACTTTATTAAAACTGAACGTGAAAAGCCAGCACCCGCCTTCGCCCCGGCTCCTGCTCTCCCGCAGGGAAACCACCGCCGGAGGTAAAGCTCAAACAGCGGAAAATGAGTTTGAGGAGGCAAAGTCCCGGCTCCGGGGATGGATGGGACCCTCGGATCCAAAGCCAAGGGAGACCCACGAGTGACGCTGGCAGGAACAGAGGGCAGGAGGGAGGGCGAGCAGCCAGCTGAGCACCTGAGCCACGTGGAATGAGGCACTGCCTGGGCCCCCCCCCAAGGATGATTTAACACGTTTCCGTTAAATCGGTGTGAAAGAAAGGGAAATCCCACATTTAAATTCAGATTAGCTGGGGCTGCGAGGTGGGAGGGGATCAGCCTGGAGACACCCGGTAGCAGAAACAGCACCCAAGAGGCCACCTATTCCCCCGGTGAGGAGATTGTGCTGGAAGACGTTAAAGTGCCTAAATTCACCAAGCCCCACCACACAGACCCACGGGGAGACAACGAGGGCCTCGTCCCCTCCACGGGCTGCAGCCAGGCAAGGGGAGGGTCCCACCCCACAGGGGAGGGGTCCCACCCCACAGCTGCAGGGTCGGGGAAGAACCTGAGCAGGAGGAAAGGAGAAGGGAGATGGAGCCTCTACGTTCACCTTGGGAAGTCTGCAAGGAGACGCCTCATCCCACTGTCTGCATTCAGCTGGTAAAGCTCATTAAAAGAGGTGGCCTTTCACTGCCCTTTTCAAACCTGGAAAATTCAGGCCCTTTTCCATGCCAAAAAGAAAAGGTGAATTAAGAGATGAAATGCCGGAGGAGGAGGTACACCAGCCCTCCGAGCCCAGCCAAGACCGCGCCGGCCGCCAGCCGTGCCCAGAGGAAATCCAGGGAATCCTCCAGGCGGGCGTGCAGCCGCAGGACCTGCCGGCGCGTGCTCTCCCGGTCCCCGGAGTTGTCGATGACGTGAGTGGCCAATTTGCACTTCTCCTCCAGGGGTAGCTGGGAGGCCACGCGAGCTTCTGCCTCCGCCTGGGACAGCCCGTTCCTCTTCATCAGCCGAGAGAGCTGCGTCGGCGGGTCGCTGCCGGGACAGGAGGGTGGCACTGAGATGGGGGTGTGAGGGGAAAGAGTTGGGGGTTTCCCTGCCTTCCTTGGCACAAGGGGGAAAAGCCGGGGTGAAGTGTGGGGGAGGGATGCTCCCTGTTTTGTTTCAGCTGCGGCGCAGCCATCCTGCGCTCGGATCAGTGGAGCCAGCGCCCGCAGCGCTGCCCAGCCTGACCCCGCTGCGTGTGTTTGGCATTCCTACAGCCCCTAACACCAAATCATAGACTCATAGAATGGTCCAGGCCGGAAGGGACCTCCAAAGGCCATCTAGTCCCACCCCCCGCAGTCAGCAGGGACACCCCCAACTAGACCAGGTTGCCCAGGGCCTCATCAAGCCTCACCTTGAATATCTCCAGGGATGGGGCCTCAACCACCTCCCTGGGCAACCTGTTCCAGTGCTCCACCACCCTCACAGTGAAGAACCCTCTCCTCATCTCCAGTCTAAATCTGTTCCCCTCCAGCTTGAAGCCA